AGAGATTTTTAATTTGAAAAAGAAAACCATGTTTTATGACATCATCTTTTACCCCCCCAAATCAACCATTGATTTATGTAAGATATCGATTCCAGGTAACAATCTAATGTACATTACATAAATGGCGATTCATTAACAAATCACTAGGGCCGTGTTAAGTAAATCACTCAAAAACAAAGGTGACCGCTGTTAATTTGAAGGGCACACTCATGTTCAATCCTGACGTATATTACATGTACCTATGGGATATTTTATGGAAAAATATGTCCTAGTGAATTACGAACAACCACCAGTGAAAAATCACCACCAGGAGTGATTTGTTAGTAAATCACCTTGTTTGTACTGTGCTATACTGTCAGACGATTGTATCAGGAGTGATTTGTTAGTAAATCACCTTGTTAGTACTGTGCTATACTGTCAGACGATTGTATCAGGAGTGAGTTGTTAGTAAATCACCGTGTTTGTACTGTGCTTTACTGTCAGACGATTGTATCAGGAGTGATTTGTTTGTAAATCACCGTGTTTGTACTGTGCTATACTGTCAGACGATTGTATCAGGAGTGATTTGTTAGTAAACCACCTTGTTTGTTCTGTGCTATACTGTCAGACGATTGTATCAGGAGTGATTTGTTAGTAAATCACCTTGTTTGTACTGTGCTATACTGTCAGACGATTGTATCAGGAGTGAGTTGTAAGTAAATCACATTGTTTGTACTGTGCTATACTGTCCGGCGATTGTACCAGGAGTGAGTTGTAAGTAAATCACATTGTTTGTACTGTTCTATACTGTCCGGCGATTGTACCAGGAGTGAGTTGTAAGTAAATCACCTTGTTTGTACTGTGCTATACTGTCCGGCGATTGTACCAGGAGTGAGTTGTTAGTAAATCACCTTGTTTGTACTGTGCTATACTGTCCGGCGATTGTACCAGGAGTGAGTTGTTAGTAAATCACCTTGTTTGTACTGTGCTATACTGTCCGGCGATTGTACCAGGAGTGAGTTGTAAGTAAATCACCTTGTGTGTACTTTGCTATACTGTCCGGCGATTGTACCAGGAGTGAGTTGTAAGTAAATCACCTTGTTTGTACTGTGCTATACTGTCCGGCGATTGTACCAGGAGTGAGTTGTTAGTAAATCACCTTGTTTGTACTGTGCTATACTGTCCGGCGATTGTACCAGGAGTGAGTTGTAAGTAAATCACATTGTTTGTACTGTGCTATACTGTCCGGCGATTGTACCAGGAGTGAGTTGTAAGTAAATCACCTTGTTTGTACTGTGCTATACTGTCCGGCGATTGTACCAGGAGTGAGTTGTAAGTAAATCACATTGTTTGTACTGTGCTATACTGTCCGGCGATTGTACCAGGAGTGAGTTGTAAGTAAATCACCTTGTTTGTACTGTGATATACTGTCCGGCGATTGTACCAGGAGTGAGTTGTAAGTAAATCACATTGTTTGTACTGTGCTATACTGTCCGGCGATTGTACCAGGAATGAGTTGTAAGTAAATCACCTTGTTTGTACTGTGCTATATTGTCCGGCGATTGTATCAGAGACAAATAACTATTTACGAACAATGAATTGATGTCGCTTCCAGATGATAATCCAGGATTTAGAAAATGGGAAGCGGTACCGGCAAGACAACGTTAGGAGTGGAACTTGCTATGCATTAAACCAAATGTAGCTCAATAAGTGGGAAGGGACCCGCCCCTTAAATCTGCATTTGGCTCCTGTCTTTGCAAATAATATTTTATGTTACGAAAAAAAACACAGGAAAAGGACAAAAAGATGGACATAAAACTTTGTGAAACATAATTTTTTTCAGGAATAAAAATGAAATAATGGACATAAAATATTTATGTGCATGTTTAGTCTGGTATGCTAATAAAATCATGAATATATAAATAATCGATGCCGCCAATACACAGAAAATTGACAGGTGATGTGTATTGACAAAAAAATTAATTGCTTATGAAGAGAGGGACAATAATGTAATAGTTATGAATATATATATAAAATGAATGATAATGAGGGTTGTGATATGATTTACAAAATGGAAAAAACCTAATGTTGCGTGCATATGCACCAAAAAAGCAAATTTTGTATACATGTACATTTTAGGTTCAATTTTACCTAATTGACCGAATTCGTCTCCTTTATTGAACCCCAAATATCTGTAATTATCTTTGACAATTGACAGATTGAAAAAAAAATACAAGTAATGATTGTCACGTTCTATTATAATGCTATATTTAGTCTAATTTTTTTCTCGATATAATTACGTATTGTGGACTATCGCATGTCCACTTTTTTAAAACACTTAAGTGGATCTCCAAACGATTTACTTTCATTTCATTAAGTCAATATATTTCATTTCAGTCGAAGAAATGCCACCAATTTTTTTTTTCAATTAACTTTAATTGTTTTCAAGATAACTTGTAGATTTTGAATATGATATGATTTGCACTGTTGTACGAGGAGGTAACATGGTTAACGAAAGTGTCCCCAAATGGCCGAAAACTTGGGTTTTTTATTACGGGAAATAACACATGCACTGGTTTTTCATGCTCCATCCTAAATGGCAAGAGTTCCGTATGACTCCCTACCTTACCAAATTAACACAATAACACATTACAGTTTATGCTTTGGAGTGTCATATGGAATTATTTCCTCAAAATTTTTCAGTTGGGCTCCAAACTTTGCATATGGGCTCCGAGTATAGGACTCCAATGATAGCGGTCTCTAAAATAGCACAAAGCAGCACAGTCAACATACCACAAAGGAGTTCATAAAGCGCACAATGATAGAGCTCACATGGCATGTAGCTGCCACTAAAAATATACCCGCCAACGGTTTTGTAGTATTACTGCATTCTGCAGTTTATAGATTTATAAATTAAAATTTAAATGTTTATTGCCATATAAACTTCAAACAGTAAGTTTGTGACAAGCACAAGTACAATTATACGTGTGGAAAATCACAACTATCTGACTTCCCATTATTGTCCGTATTAATATCGTAATTCGTTTCGCTTGCTTATTAGGCATTTAATGTACAAAAAATGTATATGCAATAAAACGCTCGAGCGACCAAGCTTGTCATTTGCAAAGGTACCAGAACAAGTGAATACTATTATCGATATAAAAATCTGCTAAAAGCTTTCTTATTAAATTTTCATTCAATAACGGATCGAATTGAAACTTTGTACACAGGTGAAATGACAGATTTAATCAGCGTTTATTTTCTCTTATTATGTAACGTGACCGCTTTCTTCAGGTGACTAACTACATGTACTTGGCCTATTTTGAGTTTACGAAAAGTGTATAATTCCCTAAAATCGGGGAAGATCACGCAACGTTTGAAAAGGGGTTTTTGAGGGTTGCAGCTGACGAAAATTATGATTTTACTATAAATTAATTTATGTAAAATTGTTTAAAACAAGACAAATTGACGAAAGGAAGTCGAGAGTCAGGTTTCCCCTCTTTAAACATTAGTTCAACCTGCAAAAATAACCAATTACTTTAAAAAAAATTGTACTATTAATTTAAGTTAACATTTCGACCTGTGATTCCTTCATTTAATCCTAAAATTTCTGTAGATGTCTTTTCTTTTCTTTTTATCTTTTTTTGGGGAGGAGGTTTCATCTCTATTCGACCGAATGCTGAGCAATGGGCAAATGTTTTGTCAAATGGGTTTTCGTTCTCGTAAGTCTAAAATATTGTCAAATGGACATACAGCTAGCAGAACGTTAATCTATACTTGAAATCAATCAAACATTTAAGTTCATGAAAGTTAACTCAATTTCTGCTTTAACCAAATGTGCAGTTGTATAGCAATCGATATATTGCTGTTCGACATGGAAAATTGACGTCATTAACAGTTAACAGACTAAATGAAAAATCATTTTGCGCATTAAAACTCAATATTTGACAGGAACCCATAAATAATAGACTTTGAAGTGAACTGCATGTCTGCAGATGAAAGCAAAAAGCCATAACGACATTAGACAAATGAAATTTTAACGATATAATAAATTAAAAATGAGTTTTAAGATATTTTAAAGTCGAATTCTAATGTCAGCGTTTACCGATATACGTCTGCTGGTAAGGATCAAATGAGAAATGTTTATTACTTCTATTTTAGGAAATTATACATCTAAACGACGGTCTTTATAATGCTAATTACATTGTAGAAACATATTACGTCTAGGTGGAAAATAATCTGATAGACTATTCGTCGCTACAGTATGAAACATACACAGGTACTTCATCAAATAGGAGAGAATGATTGTTGTTAGTTGCTTAACGTCCAGTGGCAAACATTGTATGCATGTTCAAGACAACGAGGAGAGAATGTATGCTGTTAGACAAGAGACAATCGAAAGGACTACAGGAAATACAATAGGATGGGCTTCAGGAAACACAATAGGATGCAGATAAATAAAGATGCTATAGGAGTTTAGAAGAATTAGAAGTATCCCAGATTTTTGCTGTCATTGATGTGAAAATAAAATATATTCTTGTGCCTGTGCAGAATCAGAAAATTAATTGCTGGTTGCCTTTTGTCTTATCTTTGGTTGTTCTTTTAATTATTTTAAAAAATGTGATGCTGATGACGGGTCTGTTAAATGTATATTCACTTTTTCTCTAGAACTCGGACGACTTGAAACTTGACACATAGTCACCCTTCTCATGTTGAAGACCGTATATTGACCCCTTGGTGTCTTTTGGTATTTGTAATGTTGTAGGACTGCTGTCTCATTCGCATGGACCTATACTATACATCGTCTTTTATTCATTCACGTATGCAAAATATCATGATCAGTTTTCTCTTAGCACCGTTCATATCTTACATGTATCCACACGTTCATGCATAGAAAATGACCAGTGCCTGAATATTTAAATTAAACAATTCCAATGTTTTAAATATAACTCTATTTAACAGGGAATAAAAAGTATTGAATAAATGTCAAAATTCAATAAAATGAATTGTCATTAACTTACCTTTGACAGTACCCGTGAAAACCATTATTAATATCAATAACACAGCGGTCCAAAATATTGATTGAATCTTTGATGTAAACATGATGTCAGTTTCAAAAACACGTGGAATCCAAATTTAAATGATGAAGTTCTCAGGTTAATTTCCCTCTAATAACTTTCCCTTTATACAGGAAGAAATTTTAATTTCCTCGTTATACAAATAAGTATATTATATTCCAGGTGTAATGTATTAATCCTTGGCGTAAAAATCTTTGATTACGACTCACAAGTGTAATAGACTAATTAATATCTCCGCTAGACATGTGACAATTCTACAAAAATGAATTATACATCTTTTGAGTTCGGATATTTAGACTCCGTTCGAAATTTAGTGTAGGGGCGTTGGTCTCTGGTCAGGTTAGAACTAATCCCTGAACTACAACCTATGAACACCTTCTGAAATGATCAAAGAATTGGAGCCATTAAACCACAGTTTAACAATTACTAAATGAATAGAATACAGGTAGGCTTTGGAATCGTCCACACAGGTAAAACAGGTATTCGTAAAAATAGTAATCGGGCGTGTAGTTTTTTTAGAATGTATCATTACCATACCGTGGTGACGGGGAGAAATGATCAAATTGTGAAAATATGATTTTATATAAATGTTGTATAATATGTATATAACACGTATGATAAATAGCACAGGGAGTCTAGTCGGGAGAGGTGATTTTATTTTATCGGTAAAAGTTGTATGAAAAGGATTTAATTTATCTAAGCGTCTTATCGGAGTGGTTACGAATAGGATACAATGATCATAAATAAGCGAAGGAAAAAATATGACATACTTTTAAACTGTATGAATAAATGTAAAATGAAAAAAAGGTTTTTTGCTTAAAATACTTTATATTGTACATGTTGATCTAAATACTAAATATGGAAACGCAACATGGAGGGTTGATTGGTATTTAATTGTATTTCTGTAAACGGACTTTTGTGAATACTCTACATGAGGTCCACTAATTTTCCAAAGGGTCGATGACACTCACACAGTCAAAGGATTGTCCATATAATACAACTAGGGCGCCCTGTCGTTACAGAGCCGTACATTTAGTAAGGCTCAGCCTCTGGTTAAATACGTACGTTATACTAGTTATTAATCGTAACGGGTTGTCTATTATTTCTATTGGGTTATTTTTTGTCCCACTCATTCCGGTTCCCTATTAATAAAAACTTCTCCCAGTAACAAATGCATTTATAAATAAGCTATTTCATTTTGATAAAACAAATCAGTATAATGACGATACTCATCTGACAAGATATTAAGGTTGTGTAGGAACAAATCCTTCTCTAAAATACAAAACATGGTATTCAACATTGTCTGAACTGTATTTCAGATTTCGTTGTTATATTTCAATTAAATTGAGGAACCTTAATTATACAGTAATGTGTGTCTCCAAAAATATGATAGAGCATGAATATTAAAATTATTATTTAACAAATACGAACTTTTGTATGAACGATTTTCTGGGGCCAAATTTCTACATATGAACCTCGCTCTTAATGACCTCCAGATGATATCCGATAAGCAGGACTTAAGGCGAGTGTATAGCATGGTGTTGATTAGATGGGGATGGGGGTCTTCATTTCTGTATTTGGTTAATCTGTAGACTTTTTTTCTATTCTTTATTTGTTTGCCCATTATCCCTACTCTTTATGTTAATTTTTTAGCCTCCTGTCATTCTCTATTCTATATAATTTTGGTCCAATTTTCTCTTGTTTCCCATTATTCTGTTTGTTTTGCCCATTATTTTCTATTTTGTAAACTCACCCAGACCCTCATATAAGACGGCCTCCGATTAAACTGAAATGTGCATAGTCAGAGGCTAAGATATTTACTTTATTTGACCCCCTTCCCCATTTTCTCGCTGTTGTCTGTCGTTGTTGTTCTTGTCTGATTGACCGTCATTGGAACTGCAATGACCTGAAAATGCCAACATTGGACAATGTATAAATTCAAAGGGAGCTGAATACTGACTCATTCTCTATATATTCACTATACAAATCCTTGGCAAAATAGATAATAAAAGGGGGCGGTTGATGGATTAAGAAACAATATTATCTATGGCTAATTTTGCCTGACTGAGAATATTAAAAAACTACAAATAAGAGACATGCATGAAATTCAGAAGTTAAAAGCAGTAACAATTGGCCCGGAATGGATAAAGCTTTCTTCAAACCCCTCCCACAAAAAAAATTGCAGACAAAATACTGCAATTTTATTTATGTGATTTTTTTGGCAAAAAGCTTTACTATATTTTTTTTTGTATTGTGACATTAACACATCATTGCGTTCTAATTTTTTTGCTTATCTAAAAGACTATGTACCATTATTTCAACATCTTGATGCATTTAATAAAATAAAACACATTCTAAACCCCATCCCTGAACTTGTTTGTCATATTGGAGTCTTTATTAAGCAGTCTTTAGAACTGAGGGGGTCAGACCCATGTCAGACCAGCTTATGATTGTGTTTTTTACATAAATTTATAATTGAACTCATAAATATGTTCCATTATATTGTATTGTATTACATTGTATTGCATTGTATTTAAAATGTATAATTGTTTGTTTGAATTGCTTGACCCTTATGGGTGTAATTTTGCAATAAAGATTATATATAATCTAAATTAAAATTTTCAAATATTTTAGTAAGATATCATTTTGTAAACAAAGTGTGATAGGTCACACGACCTTTTACTCATGTATAATTATAACCACTTAGGTAATGTACAACATATTTAAGATAAGTACAGTTTTGAAATTCATTTTGTTTGATATATATAAATAGAAAAACAAAGAATAATCGATACTACAAATAAAGGGGGAAATAACTCTTTCAGGAAAAGACATCATGCATATACAATTCGTCCCTTTTTGCCAAGTTTGTGCTACATATCACAAAAATTATCAACAACAATATAAACAGACTAACAAAAGTAACAAATTGTTGCGCAAACGAACGATAAATTGGCTCAATCGTAGAACACTCAAAGTAATAGTTTATGCTCCATTAAATTGACGCACTCGTAGACCGCTCAAAATAACAGTTTATTCCCCATGTGCATGTCAAAAACAACAAACTCATAGTATCAAAAAATCGACATAGTTTGTTCTTGACTATTTCATAACGGTTTAAATTAAACATTTACGATTAAAACAGTTAAACATTTCCTAGTTTATATTTTAAAATTCGAAATTTTTATTTTTCTTGACAGCTGTAACTTAATAAAAGATAGAAATCATTCTGAATGATATTGAAAATTGAATTTTATTATCGATAAAGAGGCATGTAAAATATTAAATATGTTATACATGGTTTATCAAACTACCGGTGTACCGTGTTATTATAATGTGAGAATAAATTTGATTTTGAAAGCGATAAATGAACATTAGCGTGTGACAGACGGAAGATCAAATCTATTTTTTATTCTAAGATTTCGATGACACAACACTGATGCATATACAATTTTTGATAAACGGTAAATAAGTAAGAAATGAAAATAACTAGATATTGTGCAATACATTTGAATGGTCTATTTTTCGTGCAAGTGTGTCACTAAAAGACTTAGAAAAAATACAAGCGCAATCATTTTCAGTCACTTGATTTTGACATTTGACTTTGTTCAGTTTTTCTTATTTATCGCCATCAAGGCTGAATGAAAATTAAGACTTCAAATACAATTGCACAGTACTTTATGTCTCGTGATACTTGTTATTGGACAGGTGTTTCATTTCAACGTTATTCCTCGAGGCCTAACAAAAACAACACACACACCATATTTGTAATTTACGAAATAATCTAAAACTCAAAATGACCAGCTCTGTTTAAAACAATTTTATTTAACAAGATGAAGAAGTTTCTCACTCATTCATGTATTCTTTTCACAATTTAAAGGATGATTCAAGGTAAAATTAGACACGCCCCTTTCCGTAACTTGGAATCGTCCGATTCACAGGTGAGTTCTAGTAACGGGTCTCATTCATAAATTAGATTACCAATATTTTAAGGTGTGCTAATTAAGCGAGAAGTTATTGTAAACCGGTTAGTTCTTGCTTGATGTAACATGTTTAAAATTATCCATATTGTTGACAGTTATTATAAATGAAAATATTTGATAATTATAATTACCTGACTAACTATACGGGTGAATAGACGCAATCATAAAAACGAGATTAAAGGTTTTGTTACGCATCGGATTTGGAATGAATAACGTAAATTAAATTTGTATAGTAAGAATGCGGGTAAATTGAATATTTGTCACTGAAAGAGGGGATTGACGCATTTCATGATGGCAATAATTTTAATCATTTAATTCTTTGATGAAAAAAACATGTTTTTATTTCTCAAAAAGAAATAATATTTACATTTTATAATTTAAATCTTTTATTTATCTGACTGAATGACATAGGCATGTATCATTACAGTTATTTCCACGCAGTAAGCCATACCCATACAATGTATGTTAACTGGTGCACGTTTTTTTATAATTACTAGTATGTAAAGTTCCTATGATTTATGACCAAATAACTGCTGCTACACAAATGCTGGTACAGACAATCCCAGGTTCACCCAACCTCATTCTGGGGCACCAATGTGTCAGGGGAAAGAAAAGTACCGACCTTCGACAGGACAATTCTACTGAATTAGGATTTGAGTCAAACTCACAACCTCAGTATCCAGAGTCTAGTGATAGAAAAGGTGAACTACTTAGACCACTGACTTGGCCACCGATACCCCTGCATATTGTTGAAAACCGTATGTTGACCTCTAGAAATATTTTTATTTTATAAAAGAGAGGCGAAATATACCAAAGGGACACTGTTTTGTCATAGGACGTCATTCCCAACGGCGTATACCAACATTCCCCGTTTAATTCGTATTATTTGTTTGCAGAATTCTTTTGCAGAATTGAAAGTTACATGTATTTGTATTTTTTAAACAAAATCTCATTCAGCCTAAATATAAACCTGTTTGAAGCAGGACATTACGTCCCCTTGGTATCTTTCGATAATTTTTTCTTCAAATTTATATTTGACGAAATAATGCAGTCATGATGTCATGTCAGGGCCTTTTATATCCTGCAATGTGGTATAGGTTTTGCTCATTGTTGAAGACCGTACGGTGACCTATAAAATTGCTAACATCTACGTCATTAGGTGTCTCATTGGCAATTATACCACATCTCCTTTACTTTCATCTTGCTTTTAGTTGAAAGTAGCTTTCAGAAAATTGGGGTTATGTAATTGTTTCTTATTATATTTTCAAACTAGAATTGTTTTTCTTTCTAGCAGTGAAAAATAGTAGTTTCTCTTTTCAGTGATGTTTTTAAAAAAGGCACACCCCCAAGCTGTTGCATGAAAAAAAGCTGGCAAAACTGAGATGCTATGAAAACATATTTCACTCTTGCTAACGAAGCGCCATCACTGACAAACCAATTTGCAAGCCTTTACATCAGCATATATATATTCATTGTGTTTATGGTACATAGCGACCGGTGTTAATGAGACTCTTGGAACACATTGACAGAGAACCATCCTTTTCTCTATATATATGTTAAGTCCTAGATTCTATTAGGTTCTTTTTTATTGTGATATTAATATGTCTTGCTTATCTTCGAGACAACGTGCAATCTTTTCGAGATCTTGATCCTTTCAATAAATTAGCATGCATTCTTAGCCCCATCCTTGAGCTTGCTTGACATATTGGAGTCATTATTTAAGTCTTTAGAACTGAGGACGACACCCTTGTCAGACAGGTTCATGACACTTGTGTTAGTGTAGTAAATTTTATTCTACATTTGTGTATCAAGTTAATTGTTTATTTGTTGTATTCTTGTATGTATGTATTTTATTTGTTATTGCCTGACCCTTATGGGTGTAATTTTTGCAATTAAGATTACTTTATTAAATAAATTATGGAATTTAGGATTCTGTCCACTGTTAATTACGACCCTTTTTCAAATCTATATCAAACTTATTTCAAAATGCTGAAAAAATACGAGAGGAAATAATTAAATGCCTAGTATGTCACATTGATCAAAAATATATACAATGTACGTATATATAAACTATTACATCGCATAAGGAACAGACCCAATTTACTTTTAAATTAATTTGACAGCAGAACCAATTTCAAAAAATATTTGTATGTGCAATCTTTACTTCACTTAAATAAGTTTATTCAAAGGATCAGCAACTTTACGTGGATCGTATCTAAATTACGGGCTCTATAAACAATATCACCGTAAAACAAAAATGTGATATACCGTTTCTAATAAGATTTTTATTGGTAGAACCAAACTTGGAAATCTTTTTTTGTATCTACGAAAGAATTTAAGTAAAGAGTTAAAGTACATAGAAAAAATGTATATTCTGATAACAAAATCCCCGATCTAATAATTTACCAGTTATGCATAGATTATGTTCATTTAAATCAAACGTATCAAAAGACATGCTAGCGAACGAGTTGGGAAATATACATACAGTAAGAATGGGTCAAAGAAACATCCCCATTATGGCTTTTAAAGAAAAACTAACAATTAGGAACGAGCAATCGTCTCTTTTGTCGAGAATATTTGCATAGAATATTCCGCGTGAAACTGAAATATTTCAAATGTAGAAAAGGACAATTAATAATTGTTTATATAAGATGATAAGTTAATTCATTTTGATATTATTTTCTATACCGAAGCTTGGATATTCAATTAAACCAATCAAATACAAAAGTTAACAACATCTTGGACAAAATGGCCACTTGCGATTTATTGAATAACCGAAATATCTATTTATAGGTTATTTACGACCATTGATGGTTTAAACCGTCTGTACAGTAAATGACCACATGATCTATAACTTTTTGATGGACATTATTATCGTAAAACACCTTTATCAATAATATTGTCATTAGAAGTGACAATACATGTAAACACATCAATAAAAAGATTTCTTAAGCCATTTAGGGTCAAGGTTGGTCCTATATATATATCATCTACGCTACAGTACGTCATTTCCCATGAATGCGTTCGCAAAATGGCGACGTAGCCGTCCTGCTGAAATAAGCCAAGGAATAAATTCATCTTTTTTTTTCTGCGACCGATTTAATATCTAGATTGATTGATGCTTGTATAACATCCAGTGGCAATTATTTCATGCATATTCAAGACGAAAAACTATTTACACTCAATACAATAAGTAATTTCTGCAAGGTGGGACCACGCCAATAAGGAGTAGACAATTTGGACTGCTACTGAAAAACAATTGTATGTTGGATAAGGTCAGAAATTTGATTGCAACAGACCTACGACGTACCCCTCAAAGATGTGTTGCAATGCTTTTTTAACGTGCATAGATCATGACCCTTTCTATTCGCGAGGCATCAGATATTTAACATCCCAAACCCAATCAAGCGCGGCTGCAAATTTATACATCCCGCACAGTCAAACACGGACGACAAACTTTGGCAAGGGTTTTACTGCTGGACGAACTGAGAATACCGAATAATGACCATATTTCTATACCACAGTCAACCTTTTAGGGGCTCTCCTATATAAAACTTTGGTCCTATTGTATAATTAACTATGCTATTACAGTCCCCTTGCAGGTGAGCGCAAGTTTCCTGGTTATACCACTTAGATAAACAAAACTCGTCTGCTTGGCAACATGGTACCAAGCAACAGTAAATCATCGCAGGGCTTCTAGCTATAAATTTGAAAATTTCGACTAGAATAAGAAGTCAGAACCATACAAAAGTTGAAATGGGTGCGAAAAAAAGTATTAGCAAAAATACCGAACTCCAAGGTAATTCCAAAAAGAGGGAAGTCTATAAAACCTGACAAAATAAAACGTTCGAATACTAGTACCGGTATATCAGTCAACGAAACGATCAGAAAATACTAGTACCGGTATATCAGTCAACGGAACGATCAGAAAACAACCGTCATATTCCTGACATGGTACAGGCACTTTCCAAAGAGAGAGTGAAGATGAACATTTCACCTCCCAAGTGGACAGTAGGAAGAAAGAAGACTCCATGGGGCGACATGATCCTTCAAGGAATGTAAGAAACCAATCGAAGACGGACTACTGCGTATATAGAGGAATTTAATGTTATGACTTACTTACTTACTGTATCTGTAGAACTATGTCAGACGATTGTTTGAAGGGGAATAAAACCCTCATGTTGCCTCAAAGAAAACAACTGTTTCTATAGCAATTCGTGAGAAAATGAAGCGATACTTCATTCATACTATTCTCAGTGGTCTGGCTTGTAAAAGCCTGAAAAGTCACAGATAACCGATTGGCAACTCACAAGAAAACCGCAAGACGTTCAAGGCAGGTTACCGAAATTAAAATAAAGACAGGTGCACACGTGCTACATGTATCTGACGCCGTTTGTCATTTGTTCTCCGATGTTGGTGGTACATTTAACATTTGTATAGAAGCTGAAAATGGGGTTACAAACTAACAAATTAGGCAATTATTAAACATTTTATTGTTAGGGAGGCAATTTTAACTATCAGGTTTTCGTTACTTTTTGCAAAAATAAACAATACATTTAGTTTTAGATATGCTAAAATTGGTTTTGGTTAATATTTTGATATCTTATATAATTAAGCCTTATAAATAATCGTTAATTATACGGTTTGACTAGACAATATATCAAATCTTCCATGACTGGAGAATGCCAAACGCTCTGTGCATTAAAGAGCGCTTACATTGTACAAAAAATTACCGTAAGTAAGTGCTTGTGTAACCTGCTGTAATGCTAAGTTTCTAACCATCTCACAGCTCTCTGTATAGGTACGAACCATACCCCATTGCATGTTTAATTGATGCTATGGATGGGTTTACAGAATAGATATTAATGGACAAAAAAGAAAAAGAAAAGAGAAAAATAGGGAATACAAATTATATGAAAAATTTAAATTAATGGAGTACTCAAATAAAAAGAATATATTAAATAATGGACCAAAAGATGATAGAAAAGAATAGCCTAAAACTATGATTACCCTCATCACATCAAAACCATCATATATGTTTGTATATGTATTAGTAATTTGTTTTTATTCTGAGTATGAAAGAAATATTTGCCGCTGGACTGTTATCAAACGACATCAATAAGTGAGCAGACCAAAACGACTTGATTATTGGGAAATAAAAAATATGACAAAATTCTTGTTGAGTTCGGACAGTTCATTATTATGACAATGTAATATTACATCCATCATATTTGTTTTAATTATCATGATTAGCAATAAACACATTAAAGATTGATTTCCACTTCTTTTCCTGTCACGACAAGTGATAAGTGAGGGTGAAGATGAGGGTATACAGAAAAGAGAACAATGGGCCAAATCTACAGAAAAAATGGACTAAAATATTAGAGAATAGAGTAAATAAGGGCAAAAAAAATAAATAAAGAATTGAAAATAATGGGGTGTTATAATAAAATAATAGAGAAAAATGGTCCAAATCTACTGAAAAACTGTAGCAAAAAAATAAAGAATACAGAAGAAAAGGGCCAAAAAATAAAGAATAGAGAAGAATAGGGCCAAAAAATAAAGAATAGAGAAGAATAGGACCAAAAAATAAAGAATAGAGAAGAAAAGGGCCAAAAAATAAAGAATAGAGAAGAATAGAGCAAACAAATATAGAATCGAGAACAATGGGGTTTTAAATATAAATAATACAGAATGATTAGCCAAATCTACAGAAATTGGACCCAAAAAATAAAGAATAGAGAATAATGGGCAAAATCTACAGAAAAAATGGACCAAACAAATAAAGAATTGAGAAAAATAGGGAAAAAATAAAGAAAAGAGAATAAAGGGAAAACCTACAGAAAAATGGACCAAAAAATAAAGAATACAGATAAATAGGGCAAACAAATAAAGAATAGAGAACAGTTGGGTGCTAAAATATAATGAAGAGAGAATTACCGGCAATAAATATAGAGAATAGAGAAAAATGACCTATAAAATTAAAATACAGAATCGGAAGGACACTACATATCCAGACCCTCATAAGTAATGTATATTTCATGTAAAACACATATTTCTTATTAGATTTGTAACTTTCTGTGCCATCGATTGTATGTTAGTCATTATCAAGACTATCTTCGTATTTTTGGTTTTTGATTAAATATGATATAACTGTGCTTTCAATTGTTTTGAGTCAATAATTGATCACTTGTTCCGGTTTTGGAACAGGAAGCCAGCTTTACCAAACCAGTACTTAAAGTACATTTAAGTATGTTTCCCGCGATCTATGGCGTTATGGAATTCATGCACACGACGTCACCTTTGGATTTTTCCCACCCGGCATTAAATTATTCAAAAGTGGGGCGTCCGTTTGACTTTGCATAATGTAGAATTACGCAGCAACGTCTGGTCGAAATTGTTTATCCATTAAATTTAATACTCGTATTGAGGGATTCGTAGATGACATATTACAAATATATCTTCATTTTCCATTGTCCCCAGCCCCTCATGCAGATAGATCCACTTAGATGAACATACCTGTTAATTTTTTTTGCCCTAAATATTTAATGACATATTTGCCACTGAACGAATAAATTCATTCTGAATATGAATGAAATGTTTGCCACTGCACGTTAAGTAAACGACAAATATGAACATATAAATAAATCATTCGAGCTTGATTTTCACCAAACAAAAGAAATTCGTTCTGAATATGAATGAAATATTTGCCACTGCACGTTAAGCAAACAATTAATCAATCTTTGAATCAATCATTCAAGCACGATTCCATTGCAAACAATTAATTTATGATCTGTTAATCAACCAATAACTCAATATAAAAGAAATTCTTTTAAAGTACCATGGAAATAAGTGTCTTGGTACTTTTAAAAGAGTGGAAATAAGTGTCTTACAGCACAGTCTAGTCATTTTAATATCTTATATATAAAAAAAAGCTATTTTCGGAGGTACTTTTAAACACCGGTGTGACATGTTTGATTGAAATTAAACTCATCATAGATACCAAGTTTAAAATTGTGTACGTGTTTTTGTTTTTTTACAAAAGACTTATCGGTGACGCTCGAATCATAAAAGTTTGAATCCAGACGAAGGAGTCAGATCGAAGCATTCCATATATAATGCGTTTGAAAGATAGTATAACACAGTGACATGAAAATGTATAACAATCAAATTATGCAGTGTTAACCATCTAACTTGTCAAGAGAATGCCAATTCTTGTCAATAAACTCATCATATATACCAGGATTTAAATTTTGTAAGACAGACGCACGTTTCGTCTGCAAACGACTCATCAGTGATGCTCGAATGAAAAAAATTAAAAAGGCCAAATAAAGTACTAAGTTGAACAATATTGAGGACCCAAAATTCCGAAGGTTTTGCCAAAAACAACTAAGGCTTTCTTTTCCTATGGTAGAAAATCCTTAGTTTTTCGAAATATTCAAAGTTTTGTAAAAGTTGATTTATAATTACGACCACATCAATGATTATTTATGTTAACACAGACTACTGGGCTGGTGATACAAGGAAATACCAATTTTAAGTGTTATTAAATTTTCAAATTATACGTCATTCAACTCATCTTCGTCACTGCATAGTAGGTCCTCCACCAGAGCAAAGCTTGAAGTTTCCGACATAATAATATCATTTTGATATTGTTGTTCAGTGGAGAGCTTCTTTGGTGCTGGTGGGGGAGGCGGTGGTGGATAAACAGTTCGTGACCTATCTGGCGTTGACATTACTTTCAACTTTCCAGCTCTCGGACTAACCCCACCAGATTTCTGCTTTTCTATTGACGACCTTGAAACAAGAGTATAAGCCCTAACTGGCTTCCTGTCGAGGTTAAAAATATCCATGGTTGATGCGATTACTTTGATCTGTCCTAGTTGCTTCATAAACTCGCTGAAGCCTCGTGCATTTTTTTCAATGATCATATCTAGTTTAATGAATTTGACCTTGTCCTTTAAACCCTGTAAATAACGGTCCGTCTGAAGCAACATCTCGTGCACAGATTGTAGCTGCAAAAACATCTGAGTTTCTGGTGATATTTCTTTCTTCTGTTCCGTTTCGTGCAAAATATTTGACAATTTTTCTTTCGTTTCGCTGAACTCGATTTCTTGAGTTTTGATAGCGTCGCGATGATAAGAATATGCCTCATTTAGCTGACTCAGCAGATTATTTTCGATGGTGTCAAGGTGATTTTCCATGTCTAGTCTAAGCTTTTTTATGTCATTTTCTAATTTGTCTCGTTTTTCATCTAAATCAATGATATTCTTTACACGATTTTCGATCAGTTTATCAATGCAATCCGTAACCTCTTTGATTTTATCGGTAGCAGATGAAATGACAGGTGATGACTTGAGACCACGTGAAGCGTCATCCATTCTCAAGACTTGTTTGCAATGGTTATGAATGTCACGGTAGCAAATGTGACAATGAGTTGTACCATGAGTGGTACAGAAAAACTCCGCCTTGTTTTTCATGTGCTTTGAACAGAATATTTCGTGAGTTAAAATAGAAGCTGGCAGTTTTAAATACTCCTCAATTGGTAGTGGTTTGTGGTTCTTTGTGATTCCCAACTTCCGGTGAGTGCTGTCGCAGTCTTCGCACAAACACTCCTGGCAAACGGAACACCACGACACTGCCTCTCTTTCGTCGTCATTGGTCTTACAAGGGTCACAATGAGGAGCTACTGTTGTCATGGCAACGTTTTGAACTGAAAAATGTTTACTCAATATGTATAGGGCATAACTTAAAGATATAATGTTTAAATACAAAAAAGCAATGTCCTTATGGTTTTCATTTGCTTATAGGATCGCAATAATAACATTTTGATAATATGAATTGGATTAAAAACTATGACTCAACGAGCTCCTATTTGGTGCTTTTATGCCATTTAAATATTCATGACGTTGAAATTATTTTAAATATATTTCTGGACTCATATGCATGGTCAAACTATTGTACAGTAGAGAGGGGAGGCAAATAATTAATTGTATAGCTAATTCTTTGCAAGGCCACTAAATAACTTTTTAGAAATAACCTTACAATAAAAATGTTCAGCGCTGCTTCTTGTTGTTGAAGGCAATTTTATAACAATTACATCATGAGGACGTCTGTAACCGAAATGAATAAATTTAGACTAAAGAAACAAACTATATAAACTATATTTATAAACTATCTGTGGGACTAACTGTGCACCACTTATTGCGGACCTGTTTCTGTATTGTTATGAGTTACAATTTATGACTAAAATCAGCAAAGACCCATCGAAACAACATCTGATTCAAAAATTTAATAATACTTTTAGATATTTAGATGATATATTGGCTCTCAATAATGACGACTTCAGTATGTACACTAAAGAGATTTATCCTGCCGAACTTTAACAGACTTATTCGGAAAGGATATAGTTACGATACTGTGGTCAAGTCATTAAGGATTGCATATTTTGGTATTAATATTGATTCACTTATAGGGTCTTTGCATCGGAAATAAACACATTTATTCTAAAACCAGTTGTTGGCATGATACGGGTTATGTTCTTCTCATATATTTTATGATGGTATGATACTAAACCCCTAACGGGAGGGATTGTACTTGATTTTCATATGATGAAGACATAATCTTTCAATCAGTTTAATTGAAGTCTGGAGCTGGCATGTCAGTAATTGCTAGTAGTCCTTTGTTCATTTATGTATCATTGTTATTTTGCTTGGTTTCTTTTGTTACCTATTCTGACATCGGACTCGGACTACTTTTAAACTGAGTTTTACTGTGCGTATTACTATGCGTTTCTTTATTCTACATTGGCTAGAGGTATAGGGGGAGGGTTGAGATCTCACAAAACATGTTTAACCCCGCCGCATTTTTGCGCCTGTCCCAAGTCAAGAGCCTCTGGCTTGTATGTTTTTTTAGTTCATTTATATGTTTTGGAGTTTAGTGTGACGTCCATTTTCACTGAACTAGTACACAATTTTTTTTAGGGCCCGGCTGAGGACCACCTCCGTGTGCGGGATTTTCTCGCTGCGTTGAAGACCCATTGGTGGCCTTCGGCTGTTGTCTGCTCTTTGGTCGGGTTGTTGTCTGCTCTTTGGTCGGGTTGTTGTCTCTTTGGTATATTCCCCATTTCCATTCTCAATTTTATATACTTTACTTCTTATATAATGTTGGGAACAAATACTCGAAATTTGCAAATTTTCAATAGGTGCCACATGAGGAGCAAGATCTGCTTACCCTTCCGGAGGACCTGAGATCACCCACAGTTTTTTGTGGGGTTCGCGTTGCGCAGTCTTTAGTTTTCTATGTTGTGTTTTGTGTGCTGTTGTTTGTGTTTTGGTCTTTTCCCTTTTTTGCCATGACGTTGTCGATCAGTTTATTTTCAACTTATGAGATTGAATGTCCCGTAAGTATCTCTTTCAGGAGTTTATAATTTAATTATTTCTTCAAATCTCAAAGTACAAACACGAAACCGAAATTCTGTATACTAAAGCAAATATTGAAATCATTTTGTAAATGGCCCTTGTGTGAAATAAATTCAGGAGAAATCGGCCCTTTACCTTTAAGAAAGTGGCAAACTTTAAAGTTTTGGGGTTATGGTAATTTTAACGAGTGCAAGCAGTTTTCCAATAGTTAGAAATATAGACTGGAGTAACAAATATATATTCGAACATTTTACGGACGACAACACGAGTTGATTGACCTTTATGGAATATCTGTTTCACAGATGACGATACATGTAGGTATGTTCCAATTGATTATCATAACCACAATCCCGTCCTCTGTGCCTCGAATTTGAAATCACCCCCAGTTTTTGGTGAATTTCGTGTTCTATGTTGTGTTGTGTATACTCTTGATTGTCTTTTTATCGTTTTTCATTTTTTTGGCCATGACATTATCAGTTAGTTTTCGATTTATGAGTTTGAATATCCCTATGTTATCTTTCGGCACTCTTTTGTGGACTGACAAATACCTGACGGAAAAAGTGTAACAACAGCTTGTACAATGCAGAAAATAGTTTTTTTTAATTTCGATGTTTCAGGGATTCGATTTAGTCAAACTATTTATAGAACACACCAGATCTTAAGTGCCAGTTTTTGTAAGAGTCAGGCAATTTAGAAAAATTTCAAAACATGGCCGAAAAAAACCCACCGACCTAACCATCTTATTTTATAAAGTTTCCCTCATCCTGAATTAGAAATGGTAGGTATTTTGTTTCTGCTTGTCTGTTAATTCGAGAAATTTCTTGATAAATTTTGGTTTGAATGATAGCAATAGTTATCAAAGGTATCAGGATTATAATTTTATACGCCAGACGCGCGTTTCGTCTACATAAGACTCATCAGTGACGCTCAGATCAAAAAAGTTATAAAGCCAAACAAGTACAAAGTTGAAGAAGTTAGCTCCCATTAATTATTAATTTTTAGTGCATTTCAACCAAATTATATCTTGAATTACCAGAACTGGAAAAGGAAAAGAATGTTATATTCGTGCACTATTATACAATTTGAACATAGATTAATGTCAACTTGAGTAGGTTTTTGTTTGCCACGTTTTCATCTGTTTTTCTTCTATACATTCACTGAATCACTTCTGTTTTACATTTTTGCCTATTTTAACCAGATAATCTTACCGCAAAAGATACATAAACTTAATTAAAACAAAATATTATACTTACAAAACTAGAGAAATACAACTCAATTAAGAACTTGTCTAGTCGATTCTAAATGACTTCAACCGAATAAAGTGACACAATGAATCGTGTTGTTTTGCTTTTTGCCTTTATACAATCAAACATGTAATTTGAATCATTAACACTTTGCAACAGATCATTTATGAGACAAGATAGTGTGTAAAGGGAGACAACTGCAACCGTAAATTTCAAATACGCTATCAGTAAAAAAATAATCCAAGACTAAAGGAATAAATTGATAGATAAAATAATTATAAACCAAGTATAAAAGTCGAGTGATCCAGATGTAAGGGATAGGGATCTAAACAACATATTCATCTGTCTTTCTCCAGTGGGGAGTTTCGTCTGGGTTTGTTGTTTTTAATGTCTCCGTGGTTTTTGTGTTGATGTCAGATCTTTTAAAAATCTGTTTAATTAAATAACATCTTTTTTAGCCCCAGAATGGCTTAAAGCTTGCTAAAATGAAAATAGTCCTCTGTTTTGTAGAACATCAATTTTGTTTATGCCGACATGTAGTTTGATTGATGTCTCAATGATTTGGGGGGGGGGGGACAAAGGATGCTCATTTCCCTAATCCTGCTTTTTCACATTTCTACTTTTTTAATCCCCATATCCCACATCCCTATTTTTTTCTACCCCTCTAAATCCCACATCCCAAAAGCGTGCCATGAAATGAGCAACCCGTGTTCTCCCCCTATGAGTGAGACAGCAATCAAACGACATACAGGCATACACAAAATAGTTATTCATAAATATCAATATTGTAAACGTTGTATTAATACATAGAAATACTTGTTGGTCAGCATCATATCTTAACTTATGTATTACCAATAAATCCGCACTAATGTTCGGTTGTAAAAGACTGGTGATTTTTTCCATTCTTGTTCATCACCATTCCAACAGCGCCTAATTGTGGAATATCTTTCTACTAGCTGATATTGAATTTAAGAGCTTGTGGTTCCCTTCAGGATTTGATACATTGATTGTTGGTGTTTAACGCAATTTTCATCACTCGTGTCCCTACCATGGAGGACAATTTTTTTAGTGTAGAAAGTCGAGGAAGCCGAAGTGCCCTGATATAATGAACCATCGACCTCGGCAGGAAAACTGGCATTCCTAGTCAATAAGATCCGAGTCGAACGCACCTTGCCACGAGCGGGGTTCGTACTCACAACCTCAGTACTAGTTGGCTGTAGATGAACTACTTCAATCACTCGGCAAATGAGTCTTCCTCCTCGATAAAGGGTTACTCCTTACTAAAGAGCTACAATAAGTTGAAGTTATATCATGGAAAAATTTTCGGATGCCCTCGAGACTCGTTGATCTGTGTCGCAGATAACAACATATTAACATATTCAAAGTATAAACAAGCAGGAAATGAGTATCTGAAAGATCCGATAAATGTCCACACGTTAATTAATACTCATCTCTGTCAAGGTGACCAAATATGGCGTCATTTTGTGAAGTTGTATCTAAGAAAAGTGTGACGACTGTTTTGTTTGACGAACGGACGGACATTGCAAATAAACCCCACTTCTTTGTTGCCGTGAGGGAGATAAACAATCGTATTCTTCCTTCTAACAGTGTTCAGTTAAGTTACTTTGAAAACTTTCTATGATTAGAAACACAATTTTATGTAAACAATTCTCTATAATATAAATTAAGACGATGTGGTATTCATATACCAATGAAAAAACTCACCACCAGAGACCAAATGACATAGAAGTTAACAACTGTAAGTCACCGAATAGCCTTCAACAATAAGCAATAAAATAAAATTAAAACGCATTCGTGAAGGTGACAGTTGCGAAATTCACCCAATGCTTGAATTAGAAAAATCTTAGCTAAATGAGTTGTGTAGAATATACATTCTATATTCTATTAACTTCTATAACAGTTACTGCTAGTAGTCCTTTGTTAATTTATGTTGATCATTGTCAGTTTGTTTAGTTTCTTCTAATACCCATTCTAATATCGGACTCGGACTTCTTTTGAACTGAGTTTTACTGTGCTTATTGCTGTGCGTTTGTTTATTCCACGTTGGCTAGAGGTTTATGTCTCACAAAACATGTTTAACCCCGCCGCATTTTTGCGCCTGTCCTATGTCAGGAACAAGCCTTGTGTTTTTTTTAATTTTGGTTCATTTGTAAGTTTAGTGTGGCGTCAATTTCGATGAACTAGTATACATTATTGTTTAGGGGCAAGTTGAAGCCTGGCTCTGGGGGATTTCCTCGCTGCAGTGAAGACCAATTGGTGGCCTTGGGCTGTTTTCTGCTCTTTGTCTCTTTGACACATTCCCCGTTTCCACTCACTATTCTATTATAAAATAAATGGAGAATGTGTCTATTGGACACAGATGGTGCCCCCACTTGCATATTAGGTTATAAAGGGACAAAACTAGAGAACTGTAAAAGTGACACCACCCAAATTCGAACTTGATTTTGTGGTACTAAACATTGTGTATAAGTTTCATAACATTTGGTTAAGGCAAACTACTGTTAGAGAACGGACACTTATCTTGGGACGTAGTACGGACAAGGGTCACACTAAACCCCCCTCCCCCTTTCCGCCGACGCGGGGGCAAACAAGTATTAAAACGTTCAATGTTAACGTAATGTTTTATTTTTGTCGTTAGATTGATGTCTCATTGACGTATACACTGCATATCCTGTCATTATGCCTATACCTGACTGCGGGTCTGGATGGGAGTCATTCCATATTGTATTCCGTATTTTTTTGCCATTTTTCTCTATTCTTTATAACTTTGCCCATTATTTTCTAGTCTTTATTTTTTGGGCCTATTTTTCTCTATTTTTTTGTTTAGCTCTTAATGGCCCTTTTAAAAAGTATTAAAATGTTCAGTGTAATAGTCATGGATTTCTGATTTGTTTTGTTAGATTGCTGTTTCATTGACGTATCTTCTTATTCTGACTAAAAACTGGGAAAAGAAAAGCGTAATCTTCCAATCAAGTTCCTAATATTTATTATAAACATAGCAAATTTCTAATACAAAAAATCATAGTGACGTGATGTAGTCTATTTTGAAAGAAGTTATTTAACAAGATCAATACAGCTAGTCAGTGTCAAAATGTTATATAATGTATGAAGAGAAGTATTGATAAAATTTAGCAAAGATCGGTTGCCAAGGCAACTAACTTGTTATTCAATTTCGGTTGCCGCTATAGAATTTTACAGCGGTAATGCATTAAACGTTGATTGCCATTACTAGAATTTAACTGTTTGTAAGTTTTAAAGACAGTGAATTAGTACAATTATATAATGTTCTTAAATAAAAAAAAATCGTTTTTTGATTGCACCCGTTAATTAAAAAATGCGTCTTCATGTACATGAAAATACTATTGTTGTATTTTTTAACAATAAATTACCACAAATACAAAATTGTTGAAATATTTCTTCAAAAAGAAATAAATAAATAAAAAAAACATTTCGCGTTATCTACAAAGAAACATGAAATATACGTGTGCGGGTTCAAAGTAAATAGTACGACATCGTTGAATACATAACACGTATCTAATTTACTAACGATGTTTAATTTGGATGGTGTAGATTATGTCGTAGTATATTTCTGGACAACATGCGTACTTCTGGTCATTCCGAACAGCACTCGACCCGACTATTTCGTACTCGGGGTTTTCCCTGTAGTAATCCAGCATCACGTGAGGACTGAAGACTTCTAATTCGAGTTCATCTCCACCGTACGTCCAGGATCCGAATTTAAATTGACATTCGATAACATCGTCATGCTTCGTGCAGTTTTCAGTTTCATACTGGTTAACAGGAACCACAAGAACGGCTCCATTCTGACTTACCACAGCATTTGGCTCGTATGATGGCTTTGGAATTGGACTGCAAAAAAATGAGCATAGTGATAACATAGTGTCGGTCAAGAAGTTTTGCTAGGAACACATGACGGAATTAACAGTTGAAAAATTTCAATGAAATGGGACCTGATGCGCGGACAGGGTAAACATTTCGCGACCAGAATCGGTTTACTGTCGCGTGATTCCAAAGCAAGGTTAAGTATCACGCGTAAGAATCAGAAATAAAATATGGTAGACAGTAGTGGACATGTGAGGAGCATGGAATTCAGTGGATTCAACAAAAAAGGGAAAAGAGAATAATGGGATGCTAAAATATAAAGAAAAGAGAATAATGGGGAACAATATATAAAGAATAGAGAAACATGGTCTAAAAAATTAAAGAATAAAGAAATGAGGGACCCCCTTTCTAATCCACACTCATAACCGACTGCACCGGTGCTTATATTACTTACTTGTTGTATAGAATTAAATCTGGGGTCCATATGAGAGACATTGGGAGTCTTATTCTTGCTGGTTGTCTACCCCAAGTCAATCTAGGGTCTTTCCAGTTCAGCTGTGACCAAACCTCAATGAACATTCTTTTAGAATTCTGCAAATGACATGGAATACTGTAAAAGTTTATATTTTTGTAGGCTTTAATATTTCAATGCTTAAAATTTTCGCGCGGGGGTCAAATTCGATCAACTGTAAATTCGCACTTCACATCATCTGAAAAACCAATCGCAAATTTGATAATCGCGAAATATGCGAAACTACCCCCGTGCGAAATGCAGTTCAGTCTAATCGTATCAAACGCTCTTGGTTATGGACTAGATAATTATGAAACTTATCTCTTGATTGACATTTATAAAGTTGTGCGAGTAGGGAGTAATAATAGATGCAACTTTTCAAAAACAATATCATTTAATTTCAGTAAATATTCAGAAAACATTATGCTCTCTACTATCGTCTGGTTAGAATAAAAACCTTTAACCAAAACAAAATTCAACAAAGAAAGATAGAAAAAAAAAACCAAAAACCTCCGTTAAAAAAATATGAAATAACGTGGTCGTCATGAATTGAAATGAATTAAATACTAGTTAAATAGTTTTAAGACGCACTTACATAGTCCATCTTTTGGAGATTCAAGGCATGCTTGACTTTCACAATTGGATGTTCAGCTGTTCCAGGGTAGGCATATTTGTTGTAATCTTTCAAGACCTTTTTTATGGCTTCGTCTCCAGTGACATTAGCAGTCCCTTTAAAACAATAAAATCTTATCAATTTAATAAAAAAAAACATAATATAATTTTTTGTTGTGACTTTTTTCATAAATGCGTTATGTCAACAATCGGGGCCTCGATGGCCAAGTGGTCTAAGTAGTTCATCTACTTGTTAGTTCGAACCCCGCCCACAGAAGGTTCGTTCGACTCCCATCTACAAATAAGTAACACAGCAACAAACGACAACCACTGACTTACAGGCTCCTGACTTGGGACAGGTACATACATACAGAATGTGGCGGGGTTAAACATGTTAGCGGGATCCCAACCATCCCCTACCTGGGACAGTGATGTAACAGTACAACAACTTGTTTGTGAGCGCTCAATCCTCCCCGAAGCTGAAACAGTAGTGTAGCAGTACAATATAAGAACAACCTGCGCAAATCAGTTGCAATTAGATTAACTCAAAAGATCGGTACGAGACACACAAAAGAAACCGGCCAACTAACATTAAGACAATAGACTCAAAGCATCGAACTAAGAGTATTTGCAATTACTAGAAGTTCGTTCAAAGCTAGTTGCAACTAGTACTGAAATAAATCTTGTTCTCCCAGACTTAAGTATCAATCAGTACACAACCAACTGATTCATTAAATAAAAGTCTAAGAAACGTCTGGTATACGTTGTAGACCCATTGGTGGCCTTCGGCTGTTGTCTGCTCTTTGGTCGGGTTGTTGTCTCTTTGAAACATTCCCCATTTTCATTCTCAATTTTATTACATATAGATCCATATACAATAAAAACAATTGAAAAGTGGTAGTCCAAAGGTTTTGACCATCGAAATTTTGCATTAGAAATCATAGTTAGGACCAGAAGATTTTCTTCAAGGACCGCCAGAGAAAAACGATTTTTTCGAACTTTCTGATATCTTGTTAATCCAGTTCGGTTACTTTAAAAACAAAAATGGAAAGACTAAGATTTCCTTTTTCATCAGTCATATTCCAGACAAACATTGAAGAATTCTTGTGCGTTTAAGATTATTCTTAAAAATCTAATAGTGGGGGTTAAGCCTGATTTGTTCAGCAAAATAGAGTTAAAGGAAAGCATAAAGAAAATTGTAACGAACAGAGAACACTTTTACAGTCATGTCTACTGCATGGACGTATCTTAATTTTCTAAAAAAATCGTAAACTTAATTTATGTCATCCAACATAACAAAAACCTGCTATATTCGGCGGCAAATTGCATTTTTATTTTATTGATCTTCCATAGAATATCTCCAGAAGAGGTCCAGATAAATTGTTTTGGACTCTTCACCAGAAGATATTCTGGAGATGTACCGAAGAGACCAATAAAACACGCCCTAGATCTTCTCAATGTTTGTCCCATTTTAGCAAGGATGCTATCAATTATGGAATCAAGGAAAAACGCTCTGGTAAATAGTAAAAATAGAAATAAATTGAAATAAAAACAAAACTTCCACTCAATATTATCATTTTCCTCCTTAAGTAGCAAACGATGAGTACAGCAGGCTATAGATGCTTGGAGTAAAACTGGTTTAAAATGTTGCTATGCGAATAAATTCCTGAAGTACCAACTTCAATTTATTTTTTTAATGTCTGTATACCTCTCTGGAACATGCTAATTATTCGTATATATATACACAGCTAGATCAGAGAAAGTCGGGGAAAAAATTCCAAAGGAATCGATTGATATGCAGCAAAGATTGGCACTTTTGAAATTAAGTTACTATGCAAAATCAAACAGAACTTGTCTCGATGTAAACATTGAATGCAAGTAGATCGAGAAGACCGCAAATACTTGCACAAAACTCGAGACGACCTTTTTTTTTTAAATTGTATACAAAATAGTAGAAAGATACCTACTTTATAAAAATAGTTTTCTTTTTTTTTAACCTGCACAGACAGACTTTTAATTGTTTATATTCACGAAAAGACAATAGTTCTCTATTGAATGTACATGTGACAAGAGCAGACCGGTGTGCTCGATATCTTAGGAATGAACAAATAAGCATACATTGGGAAATTATAACATGCTAAGGACTTTTTGGAACACTCAGAAAATTGGTGACCCGAAAGATCTTTTGATTTTGTATATACATGATTTTTTTCAATTTTTTTTATCGATATGCAGCAAAGATTGGCAGTTTTTAAATTTTAGTTTCACAAGCTTCTAAAGCAATTATCTCGATTAATACTGAACATAAAACATCGTGTATTTGCATGTATATTTGTAATAACACAGTTTTACAAATAGTTTCTTTAAAATGTACAATTATTATTCAGAAATAACTTTTGATCAGTATCGTCACCGGTATTGTTTTATTATTGACTTTCTCGACTCTATCATAAGAAGAGTGAATTTTCTTTTGTTTTCGTTCACTGGATATCCCACTGTTAAAGGTAGGTCTGGCAAAGTGTTGCTTTCAAGTTGAAAGGCGAGAAGTTACACATGTTATAAGACATACTAGAACGGACAACCTTTACTTTTGTCTTCATATATCATTGTTATTTATAATTCCAAATACAAGTCCTATTAACCCGTCCGTCTTTGCAAAGTGTAGCTTTAGTCCCATAATGCAAACAGAAAAAAAACACTATACTGGTCAATACTTTGACGACCATTAATATGATAATACTCTGGTCTGATATCGTGGTTTATAAAAGTAAAATATTCTAATAGGTGTATATTTAATATATCTCAAAATTACCTGTAACTTCCTGTAATATGTGATTTACCAAATAGCAAAAAGGTTGATAGAAACATTACAGAATAAAAAAAGTTGAGAGTTATAGAGGGTTGCTGCAATGGGATATCCAGTGAAAAAATAATAAAAGAAAATTCACTCTTCTTATGATAGAGTCGAGAAAGTCAATAATAAAACAATACCGGTGACGATACTAATCAAAAGTTATTTCTAAATAATAATTGTACATTTTAAAGAAATAATTTGTTAAACTGTGTTATTAGAAATATACATGCAAATACGCGATGTTTTATGTTCAGTATTTATCGAGATAATTGCTTTAGAAGCTTGTGAAACTGAAATTTAAAAACTGCCAATCTTTGCTGCATATTGATAAAAAAAAATGAAAAAAATCATGTATATTCAAAATCAAAAGATCTTTCGGGTCACCAATTTTCTGAGTGTTCCAAAACGTCCTTAGCAATTTCCCAAAGTATGCTTGTTTTTCCCACCTAAGTTATCGAGCACACCGGTCTGCGCTTGTCATATGTACATTCAATAGAGAACTATTGTCTTTCATTTAAAAGTCTGTCTGTGCAGGTTAAAAAATTAAAGATAACTATTTTTGTAAAGTAGGTATCTTTCTACTATTTTGTATACAATTTGAAGAAAAGGTCTCGAGTTTTGTACAAGTATTTGTGGTCTTCTTGATCTATTCACATTCAATGTTTACATTGAGATAAGGTCTGTTTGATTTTGCTTAGTAACTTAATTTCAAAAGTTCCAATCTTTGCTGCATATCAATCGATTCCTTTAGAATTTTTTCCCTGACTTTCTCTGATCTAGCTGTATATATATTCGAATAATAAGCATGTTCCAGAAAGGTATACAGACAGTAAAAAAATAAATTGAAGTTGGTACTCCAGGAATTTATTCGCATAGCAACATTTTAAACCAATTTTACTCCAAGCATCTGTAGCCTGCTGTACTCGTCGTTTGCTACTTAAGGAGGAAAATGAAAACATCGAGTGGAAGTTTTGTTTCCATTTCAATTTATTTCTATTTTTACTATTTACCAGAACGTTTTTCCGTGAATTCATAATTGATAGCGTCCTTGCTTAAATGGGACAAACATGGAGAAGATTTAGTTTTCAGTGTTTAAAGGGGAGGTAATATTTTGTCACTAGATTTCCCACTGGCTGCTCACAAGGAAGCTATTAAACCAAGAGTTCCAAGTGGTCAAGTTGAAATCATCCCTTCGTTAATTTTACGGACGCCATCACGAGTTGGTGTACCGTTATGGAATATCCGTTTCACAGATGATATCGGATATGTTTATTGTCGTAACTACAATCGCGTCCCCTTTTCCCCGAATGTGACCTACCGTATTAGACTAACTACCGGGTTTGTACTAACATGAGCAACACGAAAGCTTATAAAGTATAAATACATTGTCAGCACTACAAGAAGGGGTATACATAACAAGCCAGATGACACGAGCATTATATATGGCCTCTGAGTTTGCACACATGTAAATATAAAATCTTTAAACCTTTCAAAAATACACGTATAAGTTTGCTTTAGTCCTTCGTAGTGCAGAAAAGTCACGTTTTTGATATAATTAGATATGAGCAAAGCATGCAACAGCAGTTACGGTAAAGATATTGTATCCAAATTTATAATCGTATTGAAATACAGATCCTGTGTCCACGCTACTCGTACAGAGATCTGACAACGCTTTATTATACTGTCTGTTTTAGAGACCGTTCGGAATCCTCCGGTTTCGTTGTAATGATACAAACATTCAAACATTTGTCGACAGATCGCGAACTGTCATTGGCTGATGTAATAATTATTTGAACAGAAAGTAAAACGGAAAGTTGTCAGAATCTTCTAAGAATAGCGTGGACACAGAATCGGTCTTTCAATCAGATTGCCTGTAAAAATAGTTTTCCAAATTTTATTGTTGATCTTAAGGTGTAACACCACTAATTCGGGCCCGGTCAGAAAGCACATACCAGAAAGTAGTACATATTTAACACAAAATAGTTCCTACGCATGGGTATAACTTTCAAAATATGTAGAATATTTAGGTAATTTTGGTATCAAATGAAAGCTGAATGACTGGTGATCATTGTAGAACACTTTCTGACTTATAATTTTGAATAATAAAAAAAATGCATGAAATTTAAAAAAAGAGGGTACATTTTGCCTGTTTGTCAGATCTGAAGTACCTGTTTTTGTACATCCGAAGTTCCGGGAACCAGTTCTTTCTTATATGCCATTAAAGGTATGTTGATTTTTTTCAGTACAAGACACCATAAAGTGT